CGGATCATGAAAAAAATGCATGTGCATATGTCCCATATAATGTGTGATGTATGAGTGAAGTTTGAACTTAATCGATCCATGCATGTTCGAGATACAGGTGATCACGGACGGACGGACGCACGCACGGACGGACGGACGGACGCACACAGGGCAAAACATAAGTCCCCGTTTTCGGACTGCGTCCGAACGGGGACTAATAATATAGCATTAAGATCAACCAAGTATACATGTTTCACAGATTCATTGCCTTGCTACATAAGCTCACCATAATTGTATAAGTTTTGGAACGGCTTTCACTATCTTGAGATGACCTAGCGCCAAGCAGGCACTCTCGCGGACCAATCTGTCTTTATTTTCGCATAATTTCAGCAGTCTGTTGGTAACACGGGCAGAAGTAGAACCCGTGTGAGCCAATGATATTGCAGCAATAGATTGCACATTATGGTCACTGTCCTTGCATAAATCCAATAAGGCTTCGACGACAGCAGGACTTTTAATCTTAGCTGTAATGACAAGTTATTGACAAGAATAAATAAAACTGAAACCAGTTGGCCTTTTGAATCACAATGTGACTGATGTCTAAGTTATGAGCAAAGACTGTGTTAAATTTTTTAGCTTTAAAATGGATGTCAGTCGGCCATTTTCAATTGGATAGCAACAGAAACACATGTTTGCGGAATTGTGACAAGACGTATGATGTGTATGTGTGAAGTTTGAACACAAAAACGGTCCAGACATGTCAAAGATATGGCTCCGAAATAGCTTTCACTCAAAACAATATGGCTACCAGTCGGGCATTTTTAATCCATTCTGTGAAACAAAGTGGTTAAACATACAGCCTGTGTCTATGTCAGCACACAGGAGCTATACATTAAAACAATGACTTACCCAAATTTTGAATTGCATCAAGTCGGACGGAGGATCCAAAACTGAACACTTCTTTCATTGTGTAACTAATGACAGCTTCTTCATGGACGCGATCCCAGAACGGATATTTCTCACCATCAATGGTACAGAACTCTAAAAAAAAATACCCATAATATTAATAATAATATGAATGTTTTAGCTTCCACAAATTCCCTATTTGCCCACATAGTGGTATTTTCCATACATTCATTTCTTTTTCAGTACAGCTGAAAAAAGGAGTTATTATAAACTTCATGATAATTTGATTTTTGAAGGCAGTCATTTTTGTAGCAGCATTTAGTTATTTTCTTACATTTTTTGAACATATGTAATACAAATTGATAAAATTTAGTAGGTTTACAAAACTTGTCGCAGTTAATTAGTTTAACTATTCACTAACCTCCAAAAATACATAATCCAGGCAAGCTTAAGTTATGCATAAAAGTCTTGTTACAGGTCAAGAGTTATCAAAGACAGAGCTTTCTTATTTAGTCATATTACATGGCTGATATCAGGCTGATATTTATTAATATTATCTGAGGCTACTGGAGTTTTAAACAAATTGTTGTGAATAGCGCCATCTAGTGTCAACCATTACAATTCAGTAAGTGTGCCATGTCTCAATTTGTTCTTGTACACTCCCACAGAATCAATAGAAGTTACATTGGTTAAACGTGAGAATGAGTTTTAGATGACATCAGATGGGGAAAAAAAGAGTATTTTAACGCAATATTATGAATAATTTTAACATATTATCATAATCTTCCACAGAATCAATAGAAGTCACATTGGTTAAACGTGAGAATGAGTTTCAGATGACATCAGATGGGAAAAAAAGAGTATTTTAACGCAATATTGTAAATAATTTTAACATATTATCATAATCTTCCACAGAATCAATAGAAGTCACATTGGTTAAACATGAAAATGAGTTTCAGATGACTTCAGATGGAGAAAAAAAAAGAGGATTTTAACACAATATTGTGAATAATTTTAACGTACTGTCGTAATCTTCCATTTCTATGAATTCATTGCCGTCTTCGTTGATTTCAACATGCAATACAGATAGCAGCCATTCCTTGTCCGCATTAGAATAAACTTTGTCTAAACTTGGACCATACTCCTCATTAAACATTCCTTTAAATCTGAAAAATAAACATATTTAGGCAAATTCATTTGTTTAACGAATCATACACAGCAATACCTGTCACTAAGGGACCATTCCAAAAAAAAAAAAAATGGCTGTTGAAATATACCTCAATATACCATTCTACAATATTTTAAAGGAACACTGTCACTGTGTTCTCTGGTTGTTCTTTACTTACATGCATATGTCATGCACAATAGTTGATTTCATTGTACATGCAAATAATTAGTAAAATAAGTAAATATTAGTGCGAAATGAAGCGGTTTAAAACATATTATACCGGTATTTGCATAGTTCATTAAGATCTAACAAGTGTGTGAAGGGAAACACCTAGCTTACAGCCATAACTAGTACTTTGTCACCCCCTATAAAACGCTTTGAACTAGTCCGGAAAAAGAATGTTTATGACGCTTGTCAACACTGCTGCATTTCATAATGATGCAATGTAGATTTACACACTGCATTAGTGTTATGAACATGCTGTTTTTATTTTGTAGTTACTAGGGCTGTTTTTACTTGATTACCACAATGACCAGAAATATATGAAAAATATTTTTATTCTGAGTTCACGCAATGGTAAATATGGAGGATATCAACAAGTGACTGTGTAATATTATTTTTATTAATTAAACTCATTTTTATATGTTCCCCACCAAAGGCTCATGAATTTGTATATATAGTTGCATATAGGAATGCTATTCCATGAACATGCATGTGAGCCAGTTTATTGGCTGCGATTACTGTAAAATACTTTATTTTAGCTGGAATTAATTTTCGCTGAAAGAACTTTTTGGGTGTTTTGTATGGAATTTATTTTCACTGATTTTTGACAAATTGAATGTACAATATAGGAAAAAGGTATATTCGCAGGATTTTATTTTCATTGAATTAGTCCTTCAGTGAAAATCAATTCCAAGCAAAAATAAAGTATTTTACAGTAACGTATTTATAGTTACAGAGACATTGGCAACATTTTAACAAAATTTTGGGCTAGCTCTGTCTTTACGCATCTCAATAGTAAACCGGAAATCAGTAGTGGCGGTTCATTGCAGAAAACATAGCCACAGTAAGATTGGGTGAATTAGAAACACCAAAATGTGATTAGAAACAAAAAAACTATTGGTGAATGCATGAAACTATCAGTACCAGTCTTTAGAGAGAAGATTCAGATTCAGTTTTCACAAAAAATTATTTGTCCGATCAGTAATTGAATTTTAAGAGGTGTATAGATGGTGAGGTAACAATTTTGAATTGTGGACAAAGGCCTATCAACTCAGATGTATTATGGAAAAAATATTACTGTAAAATACTTTATTTTTGCTTGCAACTTTTTTGTTGTTGCTATTTTCACTGAAGGAATGATTCAGCTAAAATAAACAAGCAGCCTCTCGGCTGAGATAGCTCCGCTGTTAGCAATGCACATTTCAATTAAAGAACAGAAGATATCATTAGAAAATGAACAATATGTATAGTATCAATGCAATGGGACTTGCTGTTTTCAACAAGAATTCAAAAATATCATTTTTCACCATAAATGATTGTGGTTTTTAACAAGAAGAAAATATCACTTTTTACCAAAAATGACAAAAATATTCACCAAAATTAGAGAATTAAAGATATCATTACAAAATGAATAAATCTGAGAGAGGTCCACATGTAGGACCTATATATGTAATATCAAAGCAATTGGACTTGCGGTTTTTAACAAGAAGTCGAAAATATCACTTTTTACCAAAAATGACAAAAATATTCACCAAAATTAGAGAATTGACGATATCATTACAAATGAACAAATTTGGGAGTGGTCACATGTAGTACCTATATATGTAATATCAAGCGATTGGACTTGCGGTTTTAA